GGGTTTGAGTTGTAAAAATAGGCTGGGACTTTTTTCACTGGAACAAAGGAGATTGAGGGGTGACCATATAGAGGTTTATAAGATCATGAGAGCATTGATATGGTGAATTGCAAAGATCTTTTCCTGAGGGTGGGGGAGTTCAAGACTAGGAGCCATATTTTTTAAATGTGAGGAGAAAGTATTAAAATGGATATGAGGGGCAACTCTCTTAGACAGGGTGGTTCATGTATGAAATGAACTGCCAGAGAAAGTGGTGCATGCAGGTACAGTTAGAATATTTAAAAGACATTTGGATAAGTATATGAGTAGGAAAGATTTGGAGGGATATAAGCCAAATACAGGCAAGGGGGACTAGTTTGGGAACATAGTCAATGCAGACTAATTGGACCAAAGGGTCTCTTTCGATGCTGTACGACTCTGAGAATAGAACTGTTTTAAAACCAAGGATTGCTGCATGTTTTGAAAGCAAGAAATCTGACACTCATTGTAAACATTTACACAGCTGCTGCTTCCAGTAGTAGTGACGTGTAGTTTGCAGATGAGTTGGAGCCAAAGGGTTGCGGACAAATGGAGCTTTGGTTGGCGACAATTAGCTAATCGGTCAGTGGATTAGTGACCATATATCGATGACAAAGGTTCCATACCTGCCAACAATTATGTGATTGGTTCTCAGGTAACAAAAAATATTCAAGTGAACACATGAACTGAAGGCATATGACAACCAATAATGCTAAAGTATTTTGACACCCAAAGGCAACCCTGTTTGAACCAACTAGATCTCAAAGGGTCCTATATTGCCCTGTCATAGCTGACCTTACCATCATATTGTTGTGGAAAGAGGTGATCACACCAAGCAATAGTGGTAAGCAACCCATTTTCTTCCACTTAAATAATTGTCTTCTCACATGGTCAAATTTCTTGCTAGATTGATGAAGATAATGTATAAGGCATTCTTTGTTCGCAGTACCTCTCTTACAGCTGCTGTGTTAAGAAGATGATGTGAATTACAAAACTTCCAGTTCTGGAACACACTGGGATTTGGGATAAATGTGTTCAGCCAAGCTCTACAGTCTGACAAGGGTGACATTAGCAAATTTGTTTCCCACCATGCTCAGCAGAGAGCTGCCTCAATTGTCTTTGCAATTACTGTAGTAATTTCATTTTTTATCTTTTCATCTTTTACAGGGCCATAAGGTTTGCATCAAAGTATCCCAGACCACTGACCCCTCAGTCCAGCATAGACACAGATATTTGTGCAGGATGCCTCTTTTTCATGCATACAGCAGTATATGGCACGAGAGTCAATAGTTTTGCTAAGCTCCTGTATTGTGGGTTTGACATCCAACATTTCTATGACAAGCAGACTTCCTAAAGAATCTAGAGCTTCTCTGGTGACTGTGTTCTTCCTAGATCTCCCTCCTTACCTTGGCTATCCAGGATCTGCTTTCACTTTACGTACATGATGGCACAGAATAAGAATTGATTGATCGAGCTTTGTTTTGAGGATTCCTAAACATTGTAAATATACTCTCAAGACCAGCTTCAAGCCTTCCCAAATGCAAGAATTCATCCTTGGGTAGTTGGTCTGCCAAATGACATATTTTCAAAAGTTCAAACTAGACAACTTCTCCCCAACGATCACTACTAACATTTACAATGAGGATATTCACACCCACTTCCAGATGTCAGATGGTGGTGACAGATATATTTATCCAATCTTTTTTCATCTGAAATTACTGCCAGGCTGTTATGTTCACTTGTCCCCTGCCCACCTTGTTTGCTTTCTCCCACCGTAAGTCAAATTTTGCAAGACTCATGAGTTCAACTTTAAGCTGGAACAAACAAATTGAGCATTTGTTATCGAAGGCATTCTTAAAGATAAATAATCTAATTCTTGTATTTTCAAGCCCAGTTGGTTTTGCAGATGTTCAAAGCAGAAAACACTTTTTAAACCCTGTCCAGCTAAGTAGTAATCACAAAACTGTTCATTGTATATTTCTTCAGTTATTGTTGCCTTCCTCCTTTTTGTCTGTGTACACAAGATTATTAAAAGCCATCACAATTGAGTATGTAAGTACAAAGCCACTACAAAACTTAATTAAAAGATGAGCACACAAATTACTATTAAGCCTATGAAATACCAGGACAAAAAACTGCTAAGACTGAAAGAAATGTAAAATAAATTTAAGAAGAGAAATATCTTAAACAATAGTGTTCTGTCCATTTCTACAACTATTAATTGCAGTTGGGGAAGTCCTTGCTGCTTTTGCTTTCAATGAAACTGTTTTCTTTGATGGATTTTGCCTTTTTGATCCTATTATATGTGCCCCTGGGGAAGGACATCTGGATATTATGGAAAAGTTGTAGGCAGTAGTTACTGGTGCAGTGCCTAGCAATCTGCTAGATTTTACTTGAAGCAGCTTTTAGTGCATTTAAGCTTTTCATGCCCAGAGCTGTTTTGCAACTGATGAGAGCAGATCGCTTTGCATCTGTGACAGGTTTCATTACAGTGATGCTGTGTCCAACAGGTTGTTGTGATGCATCCACTGTGTAAATGAAGAGCCAGCACAATTCCTGTATTTTATGTGCTAGTTTGCTTCTTGTTTTCAGCTGACACCATTATCTAGCAATTACGTTAAAAGGAGAGCCAAGTGCATAGGTCTTTCCCTGGAAGTACACATACTCTTCATTGGCAAATCTGTTGCACTTCTAATAGTGATACATAGATACTGGGTCCCTCTTGGCGTCGGAGGACCACAGCTGAGACTTGGCCACCTGACACATAGTATGCAGGCCAATTGGCATGTGGACATAAACCTGGTGCTCACAAACCACAAACACAACTATGAGCAAATAGCTTCACTGCCTTATGGATACCTCAGGAGTATTGAAAGCCAAGACAGTAAACTGTAACAAAAAATCTAGAGTGGAGACCAAAGGCACATTGATGTCTAAATAAGTCAACTTTTTGGCAACTCTTGCAACCAAATCTCTGCCAAATATAATGTTTTGCATTCTTTGGGCTCAGTTTGAAAGATTGAAGAGGACCCTGACATTTGTGCAAGCTAGAGCCTTCAGAAATTTTGCCCAAATTTGTCTCTTGGAGAGGACAGTCTACTTTCACAAAGTGGATTAACACAGCACAGGAGTCAACAGTTATGAGAGTTAAATCCCAACTTGGCTGGTGTAGAGAATGAGTGCTACAGTCTGTCTCCACTGGTGGGAGGGGTCATTGTGTAGCCACTGCTGCCTCAGGTCAGGCAATTCCTGATTAGTTAGGGTTCTGATCTGCCATGGTCTATCTCCTTCAATGGGTGTTTAGAGGTTAGAGTCTGTTCAATAGGTGGAACAAATATATTGCACTAAGCAAACAATCAAAGCAAACAAAAAGAAAGAAGATGCCAACTCTTCCATTGCCAAGCTGGAAAGTCAAGACCATAACACACTACTTGCAGATGGCTGATATCTCTTTTATGCCAACTGTCATCAATGTGGAATTGACAGACTAAACAATGACATAATTTTCTGCCAAGTGACCAGGCTCATTGATAATGGATCACTGGAAGAAAAATATTACATGTTCATCTGGCAGAGGACACTTATCAACAGAATCCCTAAGACAGAATATCTTTACCTACTTGGAAGACTTCTACACATGGATGGAATGGAATGAGGTATGCCCTTCTGACTTAGATGTCAGGGCCTAGAAAAGATAAATGAGAGTGGAAAGGGGATTCCTTGAGCTTTGACGTTACCAAAAACTTTGTATAAGACCCTCAGAACAAATAATGACATGAGATGTCCTGGAGACATCCAAGATTGGGGTATTGGGACCAGTTGAACTATTACCAGATGCAGCATCTGCAGTTACCAAAGTGCTGAGTGCCATAAATCACTCAGATACATATGCACCAGGGTTAGCATTTTCAATCAAAGCAGAAGACCAACCTATCAGGCACGCTATCTATAGCCAGATAAGAACCACCAGTTCCTCCATTGAACAGGTGATCTCTGGCAGAGTGAAGGAGTGAAGTGGAACATTCCCCAAGGCACCACACATCATTCTCAATGCATGGAAAAAGAAGAGTAAAAAATTGCTGTCAGAGAATTGCTTTACATTAAAAGATGCCTTGAGGGCAATCTGATGTGAGTACAAAAGCAAAATGCTGCAGACGTTTGAAATTACAATAAAAACAGAAAATATTGGAAACACTCAGCAGTTTAGGCAACGTGTGTGTGTTTGTGAGGGGGTAGGGGTTGCAGTAAGCCGCAAGTCCGCTGTGATCATTAGACCTTGGGAATGCCCCTGTTTTTACCTCCTCAATCTGGTTCAGCTTTGCCTGACACTTTCCCTAACAGATGACCCCGAGGTCAGGAGCTCAGTGCTGGGAAAATCCGAGTCAATCTTCAGCTGGTCTGCCATGTTAGGGCGTTGATCAGCCATCGCCAAACAGCTCAAACCAATACCAGACAATGCGACGTTGATAAAGCTGAAGCTCTCCCCTTGCAGGTAAGAGTAGATTTTAAAAAATATCTTATGATAACACCGATCATTAAAAAAAAGTCTGGGCTAATTATTGATCGCTCCAGGTACCTTAACCTCAGAGAATTCCCAGCCGATTCCCACATGGAAACCAGGGCTATGCTAACATGAACAGGGTCTTTTTCGGAATCATAAAGGCCAAGTCTTTGGAATGTGTCACCCACTGGCGAGTGCTGAGGACTTTCAATCATTATGGGGTCTTGAGATTGCAGAACTACAGCGTAATGACATAAAAACCAGAAACTGCTGAAGAAACTCAGCAGGTCTGGCAGCATCAGCGGGGGGGGGGGGGGGGGGGGGGGGGGGAAGGAAAAATGTAGTTAAGGTTTCGAGTCCGCTATGATTCTTTTCTGGAGCTCCGAGGTTGCTTTTGTTAAAGTGCAACGAAAGCTGACACTGGGGCTGATCTGAGATCTGCCTCATTAACTAAAGAGTAACCCTGACGCCATCCGGAAGAGGAAGGTGCGGAGCTCACAGCTTTACTCAGCTCAACCCTGCAAACAAACAGAGCGGTTCCAAACTCCAGGCAGTTCCGATTTGTCCCAAACCTCAAATGGTGAGTGAACTGTATTCGTTTAATCGTAGCCACCGGAAATGCAAAATTTAATTCGTTTACACTTTAAGCTGTGAGAAACAAGAGTTGCTGCCGAGACTGAGCTCGCTGACTCTGCTCCGTCTGCTCGGGAATTCTGCTTCTGAAGCAAGCAGCACGGTCACTGAGTGAGCGATCATCGGTTACTCTGCGCCTCCGATTTGTTGTGAGACCGTGAGATTGCATCCTGATTTTGAATTTGGTGCCCTCGGGTGACCCAGGTTGTTTACTGTCTCTGGGGGCATTAAAGCAAGAGCAATGCGTCTTTTTCTCATTGATTACATTACGCCCCTCCAATGTTTAATGAACACCCGCCCCCCAACAGAACGCATTTATCAACATTGATTCCATTTTTGCAGTTTAGTGAGTTCACAGGAGCTGGACTACAGCTGTATAAAAGGGAGGGGAATCGCTGTGGTTCTGGTTTGGATCCAGGAGTAGACTTTAGTCCCATTTACCTTCATCATTGCATTTAAAAGATTTAATCCATACTTTTCCCGTCTGTGACAAAGGAACAACAACAAAACGGTAATCTGCGAACTATTCTAATCTGAGACTGTTAATTCCTTCTCTTTATGTGATTATAAAGTAGCTCTATACACCACCAAAGGCGTGTAAGGAATAAAGTCTCAAATGGTAGCTTCTGTTTTATTAAATTCTTGTCACTTTTGAGAAGTGCTGTTTTTTAAAAAAAAATATTTCTTTTGAAACTCTGCCCCTAAAGTCACAGCGCTAACCTTGACCTCCCCAAACAGATCGAGCTGTTGTTAGTAAACTGCAGCCTGCAGAGTGAACGCGTTTGAGAAGCAACACCTGTCCGCTCGCAGCACATTTTCAAAGTTGACTCTTTGCTGCGGTTAGTTTATGGAAATATGATGTGAAGGTGCCGGTGTTGGACTGGGGTGGACAAGGTCAGAAATCACACAACACCAGGTTATAGTCCAACAGATTTATTTGAAAACACAAGCTTTCGGAGCCTCAGTCAGTGTTAGAAATGTCCTGTGATTTCTGACTTTTACATGTTGAACTCGGGGGCTTGAATGTACCTCTTCAACACTCCATGTCAGCTGTTGGTCAGCTCTCGTCGGTTCTGAAGGCTACTTTGGGCTGAATAACACTGATGGTACAGCGCTCCGCCTGCATTTCTTTACAATTTGCAGTCTACACTTGCGGTAAAATGAAACCCCTCCTGGTTTCAAACTAACACCGGACCTCTGACTACATTCCAGCTGTTAGTTCACGTCGGATAGACAGAAGTGACTGTTGGGAGGTGCTGAAAAAAGAGGGATTTGTGTGCACAGATTCTTGGGGGAATTAGCCTTTCTCTCTGCACCGTGACAGGGGAAGAGAAACATTGCAAGCCATAGAGGCGGAATTCCACTGAGGAAATCGATCCATTGACCCGGCGGACTTGTCTCGGAAGCAATGCACGTCCTGCCTGCCCGGGAATAAACCGGCACAAAACTAAACAGAAGAGGTTTGTACACATGACCTATTTACTCCAAAACACCTTTGGCAGCTAGGCGCCTGTCAAAGTTGTCCAAGAAACTTATGATTTTTGGATAATTGTAAAAATGTTTTTGATACAGATTAGTTCCGTGAGAGCACGTAATTAGGAAACAACGTCTGAACTGATAACTGGCAAGCCACTTGAATGGTTAGGTTGTTTAAACCAGTCATTTCTTTAAGATAAATCACTGGGAAGAGTTTATTTTCTTAAAATATGAAGCTTGACAGTGCTTAATCAAACAGTAATTTACTGATATACTCTGGGAAAACATATTTATGTCCGTAGTTACTGAGTGTTACAGGTACCACATTACCTGTGTTTAAATTAATAACTCCACCTTAAAGCTAATATTAGCATTTTTGTTTTTTTTAAAGAACCAAATCAGAAATATTTAAAAGTTGGGCACTGTCCTAGGATTAAAACCATCAGATATCTGATTCTGCTCACAGAATCAGCAAAATATCAACCTTTTAAAACCGCTTAACTGCAAGCAATGTTATAAGAAAAACATACAATAACATAATAACCCTGTAGTTGCCTAACAGGTGGAAGGTGCTTCCCATTATTATGTCTTCTTGTGAAATCCATGATCATGTTCTGTAACATCACATTCATTGGAATAAATACCACATCCTCCAAAAATCTTACAGCAGAACTGCTGCAAATTATACATATTTGCTGGTGTATATTTACACAGTTCATGTAGAAAATGCAGGTCAACTCATAACATGTTTTGAAAGTACATAATGAAAGTTTACAGTAATGTTAAATCAGTACATTGACTTGCCATCTCCAAATTAACAATGGCTTGAATGACTTATAGTCAGTTCTTCAAGTAGGATTATAGATTGCATTTTCTCCTTACATTTTTTCATGCCATGCGAAAATTAAGGAGCTTCAATTCCAATATTGAAATTTAAATTAATACTTCTAAATAACTTCCACCCATAAATTATGTAATATAGACAAACTCTTCTATGAATCCCAGAAATGTTTGTTTCTGCCGTTTGGATGTCATGGCTGATTATTAAAGTTTTTCCTCAACACCACCATACCAGCACTTCCAGCTATTATTAACATTCTCCTCATATCACTGCTTTACACTGGTTGCCCAGATATAATGGTGTTTGTTATTGATCAGGTTATATTTATTTATTTTAAGTGGCTGATGCAATTAGTAACTGTATATTCTGTGACATAAAGAAATGTTCTGCAGGAAGAAAATTGTAATTTAAGGGTTCTGCTGACATTCATAAAACTTAGTAATAATAGTAACAGCTAGTATTCATATAGTGCCTTTAATTCAAAAATCCAAGAGACTTTACAAACAGGTATGGAAAAGCTAAGACGTCATAGATGGGAGGATTAAGGGTGAAATTATAGGCTTAGAGAAGACTTTTAAAATAGTTGAGAGAGGTGCAAAATGGGGTTAATGTAGCTGAAGGATCTGTCAACTCTACGGATTGAAACAAAAGGGTTTTTACACTGTTGAGTCAGAGTGTGGAGGAGGTGTGAAGCTAGAAGAAGTCACAAAAATGTGATGGTGTAAGATTTTGGGGTAATTTGATGACATAGACATAAGTTTATATTTAATATGTCCCAGGGGTTGTTGGACTGAGAGCCAGTGTGAGTGAAAAAAGATGTTATCAGAATAATAATGTCTGGAGTAAAAATAAGTTTGGAAAATTGTTTTAGTGGACAAGGGTCAACAGGCAGGATTGTTCAAATGAAAGTTGGCAGTAACATGTGGGGCTTAAAGTTCACAAAATGTAAAAGTTTGTCTGGTTCAGTCCGAGTGAAAATTCAAGGAGACTAATGTTTTGAAATAATGAGGACATTTTCAGTATGGGCTTATTGGATTAGCTTCAATCTTTATATTATTCAACTGAATCAAGATCTGAGTTGGCTACAATTTGATGCCAAACACATAATCAAGGAACAAAAAGATGATTATCCAGTCAACGATGATGATGGAGAACCAAATCTATCAACATTGTCATCATACATCTGGAAGCTGGCCTCATGCATACTAATTATGTCATTGAAAGGCAACGCAGTAACAAAGGCTGGAAGGAGATGCCATTTCAATGTGATTCTTATAATTATGAGTCATTATGACATAGAAGGAGGTCATTTGGCCCAATGAATCCATGATGGCTCTCTCCTCAGCAATCCAGTCTGACCTACTGCCCTGCTCTATCCTCAGATCCTGAAAGTTTATCTCTCGGTATCCATCCAATTTCCTAATGAAATTATTGTCTCCACTCACACAGCCCTCAGACGGAGCACATTGCATCTCATTACCACTTGCTGTATAAGGAGGTTCTTCCACGCATCTCTTGTATCTCTTACCCATAGCTTTAAATGTATTTCCCTAGTGCTTGTGTCATCAGGCAATCAGAACAGTTTTTCTTTGTAGGTTAGTGATCAAATGTGGGAAGATTAGTATATCAAAGTGTAAGAGCGAAAGGTATTAATCTGAGAAATGGTAAACAGACCGTAGCAGGAAAGAATAGAGACTACTCATCTAAGAATAATCAGATAATGCTTAGGTTACAAAAATAATAAAAGGACAAAATTAAAGACCAACTGTGTTTCTCTCTCTTTGGGCTCTATCTCCATTTATCGTTTACTCTCACACTGTCCCCCACTCCAGTTTTTTGACTAAATATCAACTTTTGGCAGCAGCAACTATAAAATGATTGAATTTTGCATTCAATTTGAGAGAGAGAAGAGTGAGTCCAGGAGTAGTATTTTAAATTTAAATAAGGTCATACAGATTAATGTACACGCCAATAGAGACCCAATGGCAGATACTAAAAGGAATATTTCAGAATACTCTGAATATGTACATTGCAACAAAGAAGGAAAATCTCATAGGAGACCCCACCATCCACGATTAATTAAAAATTAAAAATAGAATCAAATTTAAAGAAAAAAAGTATAATTATGCAAGGATGGGCAGCAGGTAAAAAAAACACAACGAATGACTAAAAATTAGTAAGGAGGAAAAAATTAGAATACAAGAGAAAGTTATCTGGAAATATAAAATCAGATAACCAGAGTTTTTTGGTAGTTTTTAAAAGGAGGGAAATGTTATCAAAATGAACATTGTCCAACAAATAATGGACAATGGGCATCACTGGTGGCCAGCATTTATTGCCCATCCCTAGTTGCCATCATGAAGGTGGTGGTGAGCTGCCTTCTTGAACTATTGCTGCCCATGTGCTGTAGGTCGACCCACAATGCCCTTAGGGAGGGAATTCCAGGATTTTGACCCAGCGACAGTGAAGGAATAATTATATATTTCCAAGTCAGGATGGTGAGTGACTTAGAGGGAAACTTGCAGGTGATGCTTTTCCCATTTATCTGTTTCCCTTGTCCTTTTAGATGGAAGTGGTTGTTGGTTTGGAAAATGTTGTTTAAGGACCTTTGGTAAATTTCTGCAGCGCATCTTGTAGATAGTACACACTGCTGCTACTGAGTGCTGCTGGTGATGGGAGTGGATGCTTGTGAATGTGGTGTCAATCAAATGGGCTGCTTTGTTTTGGAGGGTGTCAAGCTTCTTGGGTGTTGTTGGAGCTGCAGCCATCCAGGCAAGTGAGGAGTATTTCAGCACACTCCTGACTTGTGCCTTGTAGATGGTGGGTAGGCTTCGGGAAGTCAGGAGGTGAGTTACTTGCCACAGAATTCCTACTTTCTGACCTACTCTATATCACTGTATTTATATGGTGAGTCGATTTGAGGTTCCGGTCAATAGTAGCCTCCAGGTTGTTAATAGTGGGGGATTCAGTGATGGTAACACCATTGAATGTCATGGGGTGGTGGTTAGATTGTCTCTTATTGGTGATATTCATTGCCTGGCATTTGTGTGGTGCAAATGTTACTTACCATTGTCAGCCCAAGCCTAGTCATCCAGATGTTTTTGCATTTGAATATGGACTCTTCAGTATCTGAGGAGTTGTGAATGGTGCTGAACATTATGCAATCATCAGTGAACATCCCCAGTTCTGACCTGATGATGGAGGAAAGAGCATTGATGAAGCAGCTGAAGATAGTTGGGTCAAGGATGCTATCCTGAAGATCTCCTGTAGGGACATCCTGAAGCTGAGGTGACTGACCTCCAACAACGAGGACCATTGTCCTATGTACTAGGTATGATTCCAACAAGTGGAGAGTTTGCCCCTGGTTCTCATTGATTCCAATTTTTGCTAGAGTTCCTTGATGCCACACTCAATCAAATGCAGCCTTGATGTCAAGGGCTGTCACTTTCACTTCACCTCTGGAATTCAGCTCTTTTGTCCATGTTTGCACCAAGGCTGTAATGAGGTCAAGAGCTGAGTGGCCCTGGCAGAACTTGCCGTCATGGTTAATTTTGTGTCATCCGCAAATTTAGCGATAGTTTTCCGTCAGCCAAGACATTTATATACGTGGTAAATAAGTATGGCTGTAGCAATGATCTCTGTGACACTGATCCACTAGTTACAAGTTGTCACCCTGAAAATGCCTGTTGTCTTCAGTTAGCTAGCCAATCCTCCCTCCATGCTAACATACTACACTAAACCCATGGTCTCTTACCTTATTAAGCAGCCTTATATGCAGTACCTTACTGAATGCCTTATGGAAATGCCTTCCCCTTTATCTATCCTGCTTGTTACCTCCTCAAAGAATTCTAGTAAATTTGTCAGGAATGATTTCCCCTTCCTGAAGCTATACTGACTCTGCTGGATTATATTATGCTGTGTTATTACATCCTTGATAATAGACTTGAACATTTTCCCCAACATTTCATCCATGAGGGGGCAACCTAATAGAAGTATATAAAATCAGGAGAGACATGGATAGGTGGAGAGTGAAAATGTCAGATACTACGGCGCATAGCCTTAAAGTGAGAAACAAAAATTTCAAGCAGATGTATAAGGAAAGTTTTCACGCAGAGAGTGGTAGGTGTCTGGAAGCTGCCAAGGAAGCAGATATGATAGCAATATTTAAGAGGTATTTAGCCAGGCACTTGAACAGGTAGGGAATAAAGGGATAGGGACCATGTTCAGGCAGATGGGATTAGTTTAGAATGGCACCATAGTCAGCACAACCGAAGGTGTGGGCCGAAGGACCTGCTCCTATGTTGTACGGTTCTATGTTCTGTGAAACTGAATGTCACTGAGCAGGTTATTGCTGAGCAAGTGCTGCTTCATAGCACTATCAATGACACCTTCCATCATTTTAGTAATGATTGAGAGTATACTGATGGGGCAGTAATTGATGGGTTAGACTTGTCCTGCTTTTTGTGCATAGAACATACCTGGGCAATTCTCCAAATCGTCGGGTAGATGCCAGTGTTGTAACTGTACTGGAACAGCTTGGTTAGGTGTGTGGCAAGTTCTGGAGCACATGCCTTCAGTTTTATTGCCGGAATGTTGTCAGGACTCATAGCCTTTGCAGCATTCAGAGTCTCCAATTGTTTCTTGATATCACATGGAGTGAATTGAATTTGCTGAAGAATCTGTGACGCTGGAGACCACTGGAAGAGGCTGAAATGTATCACTCACTTGACACTTCTGGCTGTAGATTGCTGTGAATGCTTTAGTCTTATCTTTTGCACTGATGTGTTACGCTCTTCCATCATTGAGGATGGGGATATTTGTGCAGCCCCGTCCTTCGGTGAGTTGTTTAATTGTCCATTACCATTCATAACTGTATGTGGCAGGACTACAGAGCTTAGATCTGATCCATTGGTTGTGGGATTGCTTAGTTCTGTCTTTTACTTACTGCTTCTGCTGTTTGGCATCGAAGTAGTCATTCAGTTCAGAAAACCTGATCAGCATGGTTTAGTCAAGCCAAAGGGCCTGTTTCCATGCTCTATGACGCCAGTACTAGTCAAGTTTGGTAGCTTCACCGGGTTGAGACCGCATTTTTAGGAATGCGTATTGTTGCTCCTGTCGTGCCTTCCTGCATTCTCCATTTAACCAGGGTTGATTCCCTAGCTGGATGGTAATGGTTGAGTGGGGGATATGCCAGGCCATGAGGTTACAAATTCTGCTGCTGTTGATGAGCCACAGCACCTCATGGTTCCCCAGTCATGAATTACTAGATCTGTTCAAAGGCTTTCCCATTTAGCATGGTGATAGTGCCACACAACATGATGGAGGGTATTCTTTTCGCCTCCACAACGACTGTGCGGTGGTCAAATCTATACTGTCATGGTCAGATGCATCTGCAGTCAGCATATTGGTAAGGATGAGGTCAAGTATGTTTTTCCTTCTTGTTGGTTCCCTCACCACCAGCCACAGACCCAGTCTGGCAGCTATGTCCTTTAGGAGCCAGCCAGCCCGATCTGTAGTACTGCTGCCGAGCCATTCTTGGTGATGTACATCGAAATCCCCCACCCAGAGTGCATTTTGTGCCCTTGCCACCCTCAGTGCTTCCTCCAAGTGTTGTTCAACGTGGAGGAGGACTGATTCATCAGCTGAGGGAGGACAGTATGTGGTAATCAGCAGGAGGTTTCTCTGTCCATGTTCAACTTGGGGCCACAAGATTACGTGAGGTCTGGAGTCAATGTTGAGGACTCCCAGGTTAACTCCCTCCTGACTGTTTATCACGGTGCTACCACCCCTCCTGGGTCTGTTCTGCTGGTGGGACAAGATATATCCAGAGATGGTGATGGTAGGATCTGAAACATTGTCTGTAAAGTATGATTCTATGAGTATGACTATGTCAGGCTATTTGACCAGTCTGTGAGACAGCTCTCCCAATTTTGGCACTAGCCCCCAGATATTAGTAAGGAGGACTTTGTAGGGTCAACAGGCCTGTTCTTGCCATTGTCATTTCCTACGCCTAGGCCAATGTCAGGTGGTTCATTCAGTTTCATTTCTTTGGGGAATTCTCTGGGGAATTAATAATAAAAGATAAGGAAGTGGCAGATGAGTTGAGCAGGTATTTTGCACTGGTTTTCAGTTTGAAGGATTCATAGTGAGGGATTCAAGTAACATCCCAAACTAGCTTAAATCAGGAATTGGAAGGGAGGGAAGAACTCAAGAAACTTTCAGTCACCAGAAATGTGGTACTAAATAAATTGCCAGCAATGGGCTGACAAGCCCTCAGTTACTGATGGATTTCATCCTAGGGCTTTAAAATAAATGGCTAGTGAGATGGTTGATACATTGTTTTGCATTTTCTAAAATTCCCTGGATTCAAGGGAGTACCATTAGATTGGAAATTAGAGATCCAAAAGATAGGGAGACAGCAAGTAGGGAACTACAAACTGAATATCTGTCATAGGAAAGGTGTTAGAAAGTATTATGAAAGACATTATAACATGGCACTTGGAAAATTTCTAGGTAATAGGGAGAGACAGTGTGGTTTTGTGATGTGGAAATCATGATTATTGTTCATTGTGGAAGTATTATATGCTGTAAATAAAGGGGAACTGGTGTATGTACTGTACTTGGATATTCAGAAAGCATTTGTCAAGAGTTATTCACAGATTACTATAGAATAAAAACTCACAGTCTGGGTGGTAACATATTGGCACTGGGAGAAGATTGTCTTACTAACATTAACTGGGCCATTTCTGGTTGGCAAAATGTAATGAGTGGTGCGCCACAGGGATTGGTTTAAATTACAATTTATATAAATGACTTTGATGAAGAGACCAAAGATATGGTTGCTAAATTGTTGATGACATAAAGGCAGGTAGGAAACTAAATTGTGAAGCGGAAATAAGGGGGCAACAAAGATGCGATAACTATGTTACGTAGCCTTGCAGGTTAATAGAAATCACAGTTATTGTTTGCCTTATCTCCATATATCATTGGGCAAATTTTGAAACTTTACTCTGAATTCCAACATCCAAGTTATTTTATATGAATGTATATGAAAATAAAACACTGGGCCTACGACTGACTCTAGAAGAACATCACTATCTACCATCCCTCAGTCTGAAAATACCCATTTACCACAAGTTATTGTTTTCTGTCCTTAAGTCAAGTTCATTGTTCAAAGTTGGCACATACAGCATTAGAAACAAGTGAAACTCATGCTGTGTAGATGAATGACAAAGAACAAGTGATGAAGATTACATTGGAATGTATTGAGCATGACAAATAGGAATATGAAGAATATTAAGTTATCCTGATGCTGTCATTGATTCTTTAACCAGGGATCCTAAGCTGAATTTGCATACTATATTATTCTGGCTTTATAGTCTTGGGTATTCTAAAGGAAGTCATTGTCTGAAATCATTGTACAAATCAATAGATTTTCAGAAGGTGATGCTAAGTTGTAGGGCAGTGGCAAAAGAATTGTTGACATAATTGTCTTTCTACAATAAATATGTAGATCTCCTGCATTCCCCATTGCATTCTAACATATGTTTTTCATTCTTTGCCTGGAGCTGTGCTGTACATTTGATGTGGAAAGCAGTCACTCATTGGCACCCTTTGTTGAAAAGACATCAATGACAAATGAACATTTGTTTTCTGGATCTTATAAAGTTGATATTTTGAAGAGAAAGCCTTTTGATCAATGTGGTAATGCAGTAAACCAATTACTTGAGAAAAGTAATCTAAATTAGATGGTTAATTATTTATTTTGTCAAATTGCTGACTTTCAATGACCCGGTGTACTGCATACAAACTACTTTGGATTGCTCTGTGGTAGTAGAAGAGCACCTGTTTCAGTATATTATGTATCTCCTAGTGTCGATTATTTTCAAAATATCACATTTCAGAATGCACAGGGTCTTCTCAAAAGAGGCAGTCTCATTTATTGAAACTTTTACTATGCTGGTGAAAATGCTTCCCGTGTCCTTAATGTTTGATTCATATTTTATGACAGCACCTTGTTATTACGCCTGCATTGTGTCGTTTAAATTACTAACAACTGCTGGTGCAGTGGAAATGTTCTGTATTTGATGGTTTTTCTTGATTTTTAACCAGAAGGGTAAAAGGTTTAACCATGTTTTAAATATTGTGTGATTTCTATTTGATAGTTAAATATCAAAAAACGTATTGTGAAAGAGCGAAACTAAACATTCCGCTCCTTTGAAAAGGTAATTTCTATATAATTACAGATCACAAGATATGTCTTGGAAATCTTTACGTCTTTTTCACAGTATGCTAACTGTGGGCCTGTTCCCCAACATCTATTTGAATAAATTAACTGTGAAAGTAATTCTGGGAATCAGAAACATTGCTGTCAATTGTCTCATAACATTAAAAATGATGTATATTTTGAATTAATTTAACATGAAGCACTCTGAGAAGTAAGTATCTGCTGGCTTCTGTTCTAATGGCTCAATTGGTAGCCATTTTTGAGACGGGGCAGTGGTTCAAGTCTCATTTCAGTAACCGTTTTAGCTTAACGCTTCAATATAGCACTGAGAGAGGAGGAAAAGCTCTTAAAAAGCATCCGCTGTTCATGAGGATGTAAAAGAATCCATGCCAAGAAGAAAACAGAACTCGTTGTCTGGGTAACTCTTATCCCTCAACTAACACCATCAAAACAGATTAATTGGTTGTTATCTCATTTGATGTTTGTGGAAACTTGCTGTATTTAAAATTGGCTGTTTTGGTTTTCTACATAAGAAGTATGACTTCACTTCAAAAGTTATTCAATACCTGTGAAGTGGTTTGGTAGCGGACATGACAGGTACTACATAAGTGCAGATCTTCTTTTCTGTCTCTTTTTTAAAAACTTATGTTTATCTATTTTTAAAATGGTTTGAAAATCTATCACAGCTTCCTAAAAACAAAGATGTGAACAAGTAAAGGAGCTTGAATTATTTACACTTCTGTTTTGTTTTCAGTTCTGTCATGATGGTTCGAGCACTCCCATTTCAGATTGCATGTACATTTTTGCTTACTCAAGGTACGTAAGTCGTAATTATTTATTGAAAATGTTCAACTTTTCTTATTATTTAGCAATTGTTATGGTTTTAGAAATTAATTTTACATATTCCATACATTTATAATATACTTGCATTTCTTAATCTTTGAACTGTCTATTAAACACCACGGCTTGTGCAGGTAGAGCTATCATCCTTGGCATGAGCAGAGTGGTTGAAGATGTTGACTGAGAGAAAACCTACAACTGATTTGGTTTTCTATAACTGCTACAAGGTGCACTTTAGAGCTAAAATGAAGCACAGACTAGGTCAGTCATATTACTGTAGATGTTTTTATGTGTTTCCTAGACTGTGCAATGCTATATGTTTTAATTATGTTCCCCTAGACCTTGGAATGCAGAAAAGTGCTGAACTGGATCATGTGATGCAATACTATGAGACTGCTTTATTGTAGATTAAATCTGCAGCATTCCATTTCTCTCAAACCTTAACGGTTTAAAGGTTTGTTGAAATCTTGAAGAAAATAGTCCATATGTTATCTGCTTACAGACGGCTATTGGAGTTAATATTTCCCAGCAATCATTATCCCCAAACTTAATAAGCTCAGGACTTGTTCAACATTGCCATTATAAAATATAATGAACAGTCACCAGACTCGAAAAGTTAACTTAGTTTTTTTCCCACAGATGCTGTCAAACCTGCTGAGTTTCACCAGCAATTTCTGTTTTCATTTCAGACCTCCAGCATCCACAGTTCTTTGTTTTATTTTAAGAAGTTTCTAACATGTTTGGAGTCAAAGCAACTTTTGCATTATTGCAAGTTTGTGAGGATAAATAGGGTGATAGTAATTTCATCATTTAATGTAGCCATTGAACTTTTTGGTGAAAATGTTATGAACATAATAATTTTCTCCTATGCTGTACAACCAGAAGAAGCTCTAAACCCTGTCGCTTCAAATATGGCAGTAGATAAATCTTTAACAATATTACCCTACAAGGTGTCATAAACCTGCCCTCAGGAGAACATTTCCTATTCGTGTAACATTACAAATTCCCACATTCTTTCCCCATGATCTCTTTGACAATGATGTTAACAAGTAGGTACAAGCTACTGAGAACTGGATTGAGTCTAACCAAGGCAACTTAAAATCTATCAGAAAGAGAGAATATTATTACATAATTTAATTACACTGTACTTAAGTACAGATCTTAGAGGTTAATAGCAAGTTCTCTTACGTTTTAAGTACGAATACATTCATTATAGGGACAAAAATGTCCTGGGGCAGATTTTTGCAGTCTTCCTGACTTTATGGGTCTTATCCAGCACCTGGATGTGGATGCCACAGTCCTTTTTCCAACAGATGTCATTTTTCATGGGAAGGGAAACGGGATCGGACATGGCACATGAAAGGGAGAAACCCACGCTCAGGGAAACCATTTGTATTTAGTGCTGAGTTCAAGCAGGTTCCATTTTGCCCACTGCAAGGGCCTTACCCTGCAGTTTGGAATCAAAATTTATTCAGTGAATGTGTGGGAGATAAGGTTTGTTTAACTGACATAATTTGAACTTTTCAAATGACTTACCATTTCAAATGTAAGGAAAACTGACTGCAGGTGTCAGTGATTGTTTAAAAAAACTCAGCTGACTGCTTTGATTGACAGGCTATATGTCGCAGTATTTGTTTGAATAGTTTGAATAGAAATCTTTGACATTTTGCTCACAGCTATTCACTATCAATATTTGGCTGAGTTTCAAAAGCTACAATTATCTTAGTAGGGCGTCCTGAGTTCACAATTTGACTGACCGTTTAAAGAGGCTATTTAAGAATTAGGCAATATGCATTGTGGTTTGATTTTATAAGAGAGTAGCTTTATATGATTTTTAAACCTTGATGATTTCAAGAGTGGGAAGTTATTTTTTTCACCATCAAGTCTGCAGTGTATAGACATTGTGTATAGCTGAATTAGATTTTAGGAATGTTATTCTATTTCATTGCCACATGGTCCCTGAAGCCCATGATAGCTATTGATTGAGTGTCTACAGAGTTATCTTGGAGGGTAAGAGGGTCCATGGTGTAGGTGGTTGGGGTGGCATGGGTTGAAGGATTTGAAACAATTCTCAGCCAGAGGTGCCAAGTGAATGATCCATTTTGGCCTCCTCCAGAGGTCCCCAGCATCACAGATGCCACCCTTCACTCAATTCAATTTGCTCCATGTGATATTGTCGCAGACACTGAGTTTAGCACATGGACAAACACAAAGTGAAGAACCGCGGGTCCGTAACATGATAAAAGTTTTTTGAAGTTATCACAATAACTGCTCCCAATTAACCTGCCCCCAAGCTTATACAAAAACTTCTGTCACTATTTGTCTAACATAAAAATGAAAAGTCCTTGACAAAATTCTAGGAATGGCAAAAACACAATCTCTTGAAACCACTAACTAACAACCCAGACTATTAGCCTAAACTCTTCTGTTTTCCACAAACTTTAACCTGACTTAAACCTTAAATCTGTTGCGCGGTCACAGGCTTAATCTCTGTCTTAGCTTAGGTTGGTTTTCTGCAGCGTGGGAGGGGTGACCATCAGCAGCTAATCCCAATCCGTGCTGATTCCTACTGTCTCCAAGTTGATTCCCCAGCAGAACGAGGTGCTGAACTGAATCATGTTTGAATGCTCAGTTTGGATTTGACCAAGGCCTCTCAGCTCCTGACCTCATTCATACATAGACCAAGGCGCTGTATTCCAGAGATTAAGTAAGAGTGACTGCTCTTGATATTAAGACTGCATTTGACTGAGTGTGGCATCAAGGAGTTGAAGCAAAACCAGAGTCGATGAGAACGTGAGGTTAGGAGGTGATTTTCTCCACTGGTTTGAGTCATATCTGGCACAAAGAAAGATGGTTATGGTTGTTGCAGGTCAGTCATCTCAACTCCAGAACACATCTACAGGAGTTTCTCAGGGTAGTGTCGTAGGCCCAACCATCTTCAGCTGCTTCATCAATGACCTTCACTCCATCATAAAGTCAGAAGTGGGGATGTTCGCCAATGATTAAACAATGTTCACTACCTCGGATACTGAAACAGTATGTGGCCATATACAGCAAGATCTGGACAATATCAAGTTTTGGGATGGCAAGTGGCAAGTAACATTTGCGCCACACAGTGACTGTCTCCAACAAGATTGCCATTGACTGAAAACTGAACTGGACTAGCCTTATAAGTTCAGTGGCTACAAGAGCAGGTCAGAAGCTAGAAATCTTGCAGTGAGTAATTCACCTCCTGCTTCCTCAAAGCCTATCTACCATCTATAAATTGTTCATCAGGAGTGTCACAACTCCCCATTTGCCTGGATGGGTGCAGCTCTAATAACACTCAAGAAGCTTGACACCATCCAGGACAAAGCAGCCAACTTAGTTTGCACCACACCCAAAAATATGCACTTGCTGTACTACAGATGATCAGAAGCAGCAATCTGTTCCATTTACAAGATGCAATGTGGGAATTCACCAGGACTCCTTACGTAGCACATTCCAAACCCACACTACAATCTAGAAGAACAAGGGTAGCTAGTACATAGGAACACCGCCACCTGCAGGTTCTCCTCCAAGCCAGTCATAATATCATAGAATATCACAGTGTAGAAAGAGGCCTCTCAGCCCATTATGTCCATACTAGGCATCAAACACCTATCTACCCTAATCCCATTTTCCAGCACTTGGCCTATATCCTACTATGTTGTGGCTTCTCAAGTGCTCATCTGAATAATTCACAAATGTGATGGTTCATACCTCTAACACCTTTCAGGTAGTGGTTCGAAAAGTGTGCGTGGTATGTGTGTGGTGTGCATGGCTGGGGAGGGGGTCATCCTAAAACTTTTGAAAACAGCTGGGTCTGGTAAATCAGGTGAGTTCTTGACCTGAGCTACCCACCTCAATAGCCACAGGCCAGCCCATGGTACCTTTATTTAAGAAGATTTGTGTTGGAATTTCACAGTATGTGCAGAATTAATCTTCCATGCGATCTATGTTTTAAATGAGATGTGATCAAACGCTTGAACAGTGAGACTCTCTCCCTTCATGCTGAAAGAGTCCTTTCATTTTCAAAAGGTCTCATTGAAAAACCATGTGCTCTGTGATTAGAAGCAGCCTTTAAAACATAACACACCATCAGCACTGTATACTTATAGCATATCTTTTATAAATCTAGTGCCAGCATTCCTTTCAAATACAGAGCCTGCTGAAATGATCCATGGCCCACAGAGAAGGAAAAAAAATCCACTGTGGGTTAAAAAGCAATATCTTATTGAATGATCAGAAATGTAGATGAATAGGATAAGCATGTATCTTAAAGCATTTTTCAATGTCAAATTCCAGGCTCCCATTCTGATTTTCTTGTTAAACGACATCCAGTTGGAAAGATGCCCAGTGCTGGAGAAAGTGAAATGACATTTTGACCTGTAGTGAGGTTACTTACTCACCCTTTCTAAAGAACTGAGCTGAGAAGTGTAGTTTGTACTGCTTGTTCCTTGCTTCAGGGCTTCTGTTTGACTGCAGGCTATTTGCCACCATTCATTTTCCTTCACGAATAGCTGGGCCCCTCGACTACCACATCACTTTAATCCCTTCCTGCCAAAGTCCGAAAGCTGATGAAATATTTGCTACTGAGATGGAATGATCTGAGTGGCAGGTGGCCCTGACACTCAGACCTATGACCTTTTATTTAAAAGGATATGCACTCGATCAGCTGCACTGAAAGATCTCTTCAGTTTCTGCTTCTGCAAGCTGGAACCTGAGATGAAGCAAAGGGTTAACTCATAGCTAGTCATTTCATTAAAAGTTGTGTTAAGGTGTAAATTACCTGAAGCTATGTTGGATTTTCAAAGTTTGGACTTTTGCCTTATTTGATATAACCCAGGAAGCTAAAATCTGTGTGGTATTCATAAACTGTCTTCCCAGATCTATATTCTATTTTTGACAAATAGAAGCCTTGTAAATTTCAGGGAACTATGCTATAGACTGTCATA